GTCCAATCGTTTCGTCAATTGAACTCTATAATAACTCTATTTTATAATATAATATATAATATAACTTTATATATTTTTATCGAAACATTTTTAACACGTAGTGATAGTTTTTGGATCAGTCCATTTGTTTCGCCAATTGAACCTTTGTTAATAACTCTTCTTTTTTTAATATAACTATCTCTATTGAAACTTTTATAATACCTAATCTAGATAGTTCAGTAATTAATGTATATCTTCTATATATATGTAATGCGCGTTCTAATTTAGTTACTTACTGTAGCTATTCAATGTGTAATCTTTTTATAATAATAATAATAATAATAATATAATATAGCTTTATTGTTAGGCAGTTGGGCGGAAACGCCGGAGTTCATTTGTTGGGCACCGCATTTTAGTGCTGTGTGTGGTTATATAAGTTATGTCTGCCGGGTTTTAATATTGACTATCTTAAATTGACAATTTTATATTGACTATTTTAAATTATATTTATATTATCTATCAGTTTACTTTTGTTGCTATTCGCTATATTTTCGTAATCAGATTCTGGTAATCAGAACTGGTATACAATTTAAAGATTGAGACCAGAATTGAGACTTAACGTCAGATAAACGACCTAGATGATATAGAGATACGTCGACATGTTCTCAGCTTTTTTTCCAACTTACTGAAATTACATTTTTTATATTACACGATGTGATCCGTGAGTCGTCTCATTGAGACCTTTTATTTCATATTCAATGTTTCATATTCATTCTAAATCTATCCTTTCTTCGTGAAAGCGGTTACATCCATAGGCTTATTTGACTTGAACTTTCTACTTCTAAGTTATTGGAATATTTCAATAGTATTACAGAACGTATTGCCAAGACCAATAACCAATATAACATATAACTCTCTAACAATCTTTAAAAAAACTCTTTTTGGAATGTTACGATCATGGTAAATGATTTGCCTAAAATGTAACCGGGTCCGAGATCTAACCAAACCTATTGCTTGTTGTTTTTAAATATATTTTTATATGTATGTATGTATGTATGTATGTATGTATGTATGTATGTATGTATGTATGTATGTATGTATGTATGTATGTATGTATGTATGTATGTATGTATGTATGTATGTATGTATGTATGTATGTATGTATGTATGTATGTATGTATGTATGTATGTATGTATGTATGTATGTATGTATGTATGTATGTATGTATGTATGTATGTATGTATCATTGGGCATCAAAAATCTAAATGTTTTCTGGTAGAGGACCACCAGACCCTCATAGTTTCCTCACAAATCACATACGTGCTGGGGTAATGGAACAGGAGGTAAAATTGGGGCGAGTGAAGCTATCCAAAAGAAATTAGAGTGGGAGAACCTAATATTCTTTGCTGCTAAGGTTATTATATATTGAGTATTCATGATTCCCAGTTACATGTTTTGAAACAGCTCCAGAGAAACGAACATATGACGTTTTTGAATTATTACGTCATTCTTTGAATATAATTTTTTATATTCAACACTATGACGTTGAATATTATGTAAAAACTCCATATTTGCATTGTCAGCTATTGCGTAGATATATGACATGCAAGTTACAATGAATCAAATATAATTAACGGCAGAGAATTGTTTTAGATCACTTACGATTGCGGTTGGCTAAGTGGATAGCTGACGGGGTATTGATTGTCCAAGTAAATAATTTGCCACACTGTTGACGGCCACCATATAAACAACGCCAAGAACAAAGGCATGTCTTCTGGGTCTGTATTGATGATTCGCACCAGGAAACTTGCGGAGGTTATGGAGAATAGTATCATCATGACCCAGAAACTGACAAGTCTACACGCTTGACATATTCTCATTCGCTTCATACGCGAGATACAGATGAAATACAGGCAGATGGAAGATAAGATGGATGATACTAGCCAACACAGGATCCACTGTTTCGGGCGTGTTACAAAAAACTCTTGTGTGCAATTGAAAATCGAAGCGTTTTCGTAAAAAGCGCATTTTGAATCGAATCCAGAAAAGATCGTCAGGCCAAACAGTCTTGGGATGAAATGGAATAAATATATCACCTACAGTAAAATAGATCAACTTTAGAACCTAACAGCTTAAGAGTATATAACAGCCTGAAGTTATATATTCTTGAGAATATATAACATCCATTTTTATCGGAACTAACTCAGCCTAAAGTTTGGACAAGGTTTTATGCACAAGGTTTTATGCACCAATTCGTTAAGCAAATATTCTAAGACAATTAAGAAAACAACTATGACACACACAAAGTTGTGGGAGAAGGGTTGTCGAGGAGAAATGCTCCGATTATACTTTAAACTGTGACCAAAGTGTCGCCCCACAGACTCACTATTACAGCAATATGATTATGATATAATGATATGTCCTCTGGGGGTCATGGTTCCCCCATGTTGGACTTTACCCAAGGGGTAGTAGATCCCCGAGATGGGCATCCTAAATGTCCAAGGGGTAGTAGATCCCCGTGATGGTCATTGTTTACTTTAATGTCCAAGGGGTAGTAGACCCCCGTGATGATCATTGTTTACTTTACAATACACTGTATAATACATTGATTTGTGTGAGTCTATGGAGTTGACGGTGACCTTTGGGAGCACTCCATCCCCACAAATACACAGCCTGTGTATTCCCCATAGACGAAAAACCCAACTTCCCACCACAACTGTAATCGTATAAAAGACAGCTTCTAACAGATGATCTTTGTGCTTTTCGAAGACATATCGTCTATATTTCTCTTTCGACACACTTTACGATAATTAATTGATTAAAATCATGTTATATAGTTATCTGACTTTACCTTTTAATACAATAACTTATAGAATATGATAAATTTGTGAGATTACTTGACATTGCCCAAGAACAAATTAATTTTGGTTAAATTTGGATGATTGGATAAGAAATTAGCAAAAGTCTCACTGTCTAACCTCGCACCCAGAGCGTCTGTGGGTCGTGGCTTAGCCACAAGCTCAGCAAACCTCGTATCCAGGCTATTCTCTCTCATGCTCTGGTGCCACGGTCGAAAAGACCCTGGGTGCGAGGATGCAAGACAAGCGCATAAGCTTTCTTGCAGAATGCGTAATTAGCCGATATATATATATATATATATATATATATATATATCGTATGCATGATACGATTACGATTATAACATTTCGAATTCTGTATCATATCTATGATCAAATGCATTTTACATCAAGTATTACGCTTACCTAAATACAATACTTAGCCTACACGGCAAAAAACGCCGAGCCCGCTGTCCAACGGGACTGAACAATGTTTTGCTGCCCATGTTGTTCACACTTGTCAACAATATTGAACAATGTTGTTGAGCCTGAATCGGGTGTAACAATATTGTTCAATATTGTTGACAGCTATGAACAATGTGGGCAGCAAAACATTGTTCAATCCTGTTTTCATCAGTATTTCATCAACCTGAGCGTTTTTACGCGTGTAGACTATTTTATCTTTACAACAATTGTGATATTAATTTCTTTGCTGTGTTTATACTAACCCACCCTGTCAACTTTCCCTATGGTAGGAAACCGGAGAACCCTGAGAAAACCCACGACTGTCGGCAGAGCATTGACTGGCCTTGACTGACTCTTTTCACATGAGTCCGTAGCGAGAATCAAACCCATGTATACATATTAAATTTACAGTAATTCGCTGGGTGATATCCAGTCTCCAAGTGACCTCTAGAGTGCAGACATTGGGGTTTTGCAACTGACAACTTAATATTCTGATCATAATCACCCTGGCCTGGAAAATAGGGAGGCTATATTTTAGTTTCAGACTATACGTTCCACACAACACCGGAGCAAAATAATGCGGACAGAATATACGTATGCATGTTCACACTACACCGTTTCAGTTTGTTTACCAATTCTATTATAGCACTCATATAAACCAACATATTTCAAATAGAGCAAAGAAGTTTAAATGAAAAGCATATAATTAGTCGAATTTTCTGTTTTGAGATCTGAGATACTTGCATGGTTTGCAAGCGGTACAAAAAAGCTAGGTGACAGCATTATTTTGTGTTCACACGAAGCGTCCAAGCGCCCCGTTTTCATCTCGCTCCGTTTAGAAACCGTGCTCAAATTGTTACAGCGAAAGTAACGTTTTCAAACAATTTCTCTATGGCGTAGTGACTGGTATTAGAAGTGCCACGGCTAATCGAGACTTTTCTGTGCCGTTTTCAAAACACATTAATTGTTTGTGTCCATATGTTTCCTGATTCTAAACTGCATGGAAATTATAGGCATTGTTTCAACAAAAATAATGGACGATGCGATCTCAAAGACGCCCTTCGAAACGAAGAAATTCTTCTTGCAAGACAAAGCTGACTGATCCCTTCAACAACAACGTTATTATTCCGAACTCAATGTTAAACTAGGCATTTTCACATATAGCTTGGCTTTTTGTAACTTTTTATTTTATAAACTTTGCTAGCATTTATTACAACAATCACATTCCTCATAGCGCTTATTAATTCTTCAACTGAAATTGAAATCACGTCGTTGAGTTTAGCACGTCGTCTTTTCTAAATCTGTCTAAACGCAACGCAACATAACACAAAACAGCACAACAAAAGCTAGTTTTACCTTAAATGTATAAATGGCGAAAAGCCACAGCCGATCTTTGATTGTCCCAAACTCTTTGACTTCGTTGAATATCCACCTCATTTTAAATTAAGTTTACATTAAAATAAATGCTTGACCTTGTTCTAATTTTTTCATGCAATGACTTGACTCAATCGTCAAACGACATGGATTTATATACCCCCACCCAAACTATATAGTTATGCAAATGATATATAGGGTTTTCCCAACTGATTATGAATCAAAATTTTTAATCACTGGCTATTTTAAGACCGACCTGCATGCATGAAGGAGAAATTTATGAACAATCAGCTGTTTTTGGTTAAATATTCAAGGCCATGCCAAATCCCATTTGGCAATTTGTTGTATGACTTTTATTTGATGTGTTGCATGACTTTTTCAGCTTTTAAAGTCATCCCTTTAAATTCACATCACTTCATTATTAAGTTCATTTAGAAATTTCAAAAACAGTTGTGCATCGGGTTTTTTAATTTAGTGAAAATCGAATAGAACAGGTTATATGATAATTTCATTGTTTTGAAATTCCAGTGACAGTGACGTTGCAGAAATATGTTAAGGCTCGTTTATACACTTGCAATTTTGGCTGCGATTTTTAGTGCGATTTTCTTCTTCTGATGAATGTGAACAAATATATCCCGGTGAAACACTCGCTCTCATGTACATGCACAGAATATTCATAACTCATCTCATGTATACCTTCATCTGAACATCCATAACTCATCCACTCGTTCACATCCATCAGAAGAAGAAAATCGCACCTATACAATCGCAGCAAAAGTGTACAAACGGGCCATTAGCAATATGTGAAATAATTTCAAATGGTCAATTTCAATGAATTCGTGTGTTCAGTATTACGTACTATTTTTTTTCAAGGCAAAAGCGGTTTCCGAGACAAAGAGTATGGCATGACCGTTTCACCTTCTCAAAATCTACTTTAAATGTTTTTAAATAAATTCACAAATTAATGCGAGTAGGATCATTTCATATTATTATTATTATTCTGTATTTATCCGGTTAAAACTTGTTCAGCTACTGAAAGTTGTTATCCTATACAGGGTCAAAGACCTGTAAGGATCTGTAATTGACACATATTCTTTGTGAAAATTGCTTATGAGTTATGTAAAAGATTTTATGCTATATTCTCAAATATTATAATGTATTATAAGGTATTATAACCCGCATGGTTGTATACTTTGTATATTTTAAACTATTCCTTTTTGTCGTGTCGTAAAGTCTAAACTAAAGACTATCTTTTAATTTATAAACTAAGCAACTGTACTGAATAGTACTGAATACAGTATGCTATATGTATTTCGGTTTATAAGCGTTTTTACAGTTCCAGCTGGCGTGACTCATTGCCATTGGTATAGAAAAAACTGAACAGCTAGTAATTGCACATATCCCGCAGCGTGCATTGTCATTTGGCAACGACAACGTTGCAACTTTTAGCAACGAATTTGTACTTTCAAACAGTCTGTTTCCTAAAACGGTTCGATACACTTAGATATAGTAATATATAGAGAGTTGTGTATGTATAGTGTCTCTTCATTTGGAAGCAAGAGCTGCCATAAAAAGGCAGCATTTTTTAGTTGCTTGTTATTGACTTTTTCTCCTGCAGGGTAAATCGATTTTTCTAACGGTTATTGTCTCTGTACAATAATTAAATAATTCGAAGCAAGAGTTGCTATGAAAGCGGAATTTCTCCCTTTTTCCTGATTTTTCTCCTGCATCCCCCCCGGCCCCCATTAGCTTCGCCCCTATCCACACCATGAAAATGGGGACGAGGTTGATCAAAATATACAGTATATTAAGAGTTTAAATAAATAACTTTCAGTTTTAGCTTTAATAATATAATGCTTAATGCAATAAATGTATTCGTTAAAAAGATTATAATTAAAGTAGTGTTATCATGGTTTCCGGAAAATTAGCGAGACAGTCCGGTAAGCGAGATCTCACTGTGTATAGTTATTTTTCTCTTTTAAATTTCTCTCTTCCCTAAGACGAGTATTGAATATAGAATATGATAATTTCGTATTAATTTGTATTACGCAAAGCAAAATGCACCACATTTGGGCCGAAAGTGGTGCATTTTCCCGCGCGTAATACAAAATAATACAAAATTTGCAAATTTTGTAGGGCTATATTTTCCTCATTTTACAAGATTTCGCAAGTCGCAACCAAACTTGACAATGTTACGAATTTTAAGATGCTCTATTTAGCTGCTGTGATGGATTTCGTTTTTTTTGCCTAAATCAAACTGATTGTGAATTTATTTAAAAACATTTAAAGTATGATTTTACAGTAAGAAGGTGAAAGTCATGCCATATATACTCTTTATCATGGAAACCGCTTTTGCCTTGAAAAAGAAATAGTAATACTGAAATTAAAACACGAGTTCATTGACATTGTGCATTTGAAATTATATCACTTCAATATTTCTAACACATTTCTTATTCTATATTTATCAGGTTAAAACTTGTTCAGCTATTGAAAGCTGTTATCCTACAAGGATCGCGGTAAGGACCTGTAATTATGTAAGATCTACAATATGACACATCGTTCTTTGTGAAAATTGCTTATGTAAGAAATTTTATATCTCATGAAAATAGTATAATTTTACCTGCATGCATGTACATGCAAAAATTTACAATTGCAGTGACATTGTATATTTAAACTATTCTTTCTTGTCGTAAAGTAAAGTCTAAACTAAAGAGTATCTTTAAAGCAATTGTACTGAAGAGTTTAGTGTAATCCTATACAGTCTCTAACAAGACCGACCTATAACTGTATGTTATTATGTCGTTAATAAAGCGTGTACAGTATGCTATGTATTTTGGTTTATAAGCGTTTTTACAGCTCAGCTTGACTTATTCATGGAGCCTGAAAAAACAGTAATTGCATATATCCCGCAGCGTGCATTGTCACATTTGGCAACCTTGCTACTTTTTAGCAACGAATTATATGTCAAACAGTCTGTTTCCTAAAACGGTTCGATATACTAAGATATAGTAATATATAAAGAGTTGTGTATGTAGTGTCTAGCTCTTATTAATTTGGAAGCAAGAGTTGCCATAAAAAGGCAGCATTTTTTAGTTACTTGTTGACTTCATCTCCTGCAGGGCAGTGTAACTCGATTTTTTACCCCAACGGGTATATATTGTCTTTTTATAATTGAATATTTCGAATCAAGAGTTGCCATGAAAGTGGCATTTTCCCTTTTTTGTCGATTTTTTCTCTTGCATATGGGAAGTATGCCCCATCCATGCACACCATGAAAATCCTGGGGACGAGGTTAATCAAAATATACTGTATATTAAAAGTTTAAATAAATAACTTTTAGTTTTAGCTTAATAATGCTTAATGCAATAAATGTTTTCGTCAAAAAGATTATACACAGTGATATTATCATGGCTTCGAAAATTAGCGAGACCTTTCGGCCCAAATGTGCATGTGGTGCATTTTGCCTTGCGTATAATACAAATTAATACGAAATTATCATATTTTATTCAATATACTCGTCTTAAAGAAGAGAGAAATTTTCGTCCTGGTAAGAGAGATCTTGCCTCTTTCAATTAGCGAGATCTTGGTACATTCAACTCTAAAAATAGCTATACACAGTGAGATCTCGCTTTGGTGCATTTTCCTGCGCGTAATACAAAATAATACAAAGCTATATTTTCCTCATTTTACAATATTTCGCAAGTCGCAACCAAACTTGGCAATGTTACTAATTTTAAGATGATCTTTTTAGCTGTATGGTGATGGTCTGATGGATTTCGTTTTTTTGCCTAAATCAAACTGCAGCTGGAATCATCCATTTGTGAATTTATTTAAAAACATTTGAATGATTTTAAGAAGGTGAAACGGTCATGCCATACTCTTTGTCTCCGAAACCGCTTTTGCCTTGAAAAAGAAATAGTAATACTGAAAACACGAGTTCATTGACATTGTGCATTATTTTGAAATTATTTCACTTTAAATCTTTAATATTTCTAACACATTTCTTATTCTATATTTATCAGGTTAAAATTGTTCAGCTACTGAAAGCTGTTATCCTACAAGGATCGCGGTAAGGACCTGTAATTATGTAAGATCTACAATATGACACATCGTTCTTTGTGAAAATTGCTTATGTAAGAAATTTTATATCTCATGCGAATATTATAATTTTACCTGCATGCATGTACATGCAGAAATTTACAATTGCAGTGACGTTGTATGTTTTAAACTATTCTTTCTTGTCGTAAAATAAAGCTAGTCTAAACTAAAGAGTATCTTTAATTAAAGCAATTGTACTGAAGAGTTTAGTGTAATCCTATACAGTCTCTAACAAGACCGACCTATACTATATGTTATATTATGTCGTTAATAAAACGTGATACAGTATGCTATGTATTTTGGTTCATAAGTGTTTTTACAGCTCAGCTTGACTTATTCACGGAGCCTGGAAAAACAGTAATTGCATATATAGCCTGCAGCGTGCATTGTCATTTGGCAACCTTGCAACTTTTTAGCAACGAATTATATGTCAAACAGTCTGTTTCCTAAAACTGTTCGATATACTTAGATATAGTAATATATAAAGAGTTGTGTATGTAGTGTCTAGCTCTTATTAATTTGGAAGCAAGAGTTGCCATAAAAAGGCAGCATTTTTTAGTTACTTGTTGACTTTTTCTCCTGCAGGGCAGTGTGACTCGATTTTTTACCCCAACGGGTATATTGTCTTTTTATATTAATTGAATACTTCGAAGCAAGAGTTTCCATGAAAGTGGCATTATCCCTTTTTTGTCCTTTTTTCTCTTACATGGAAGTATGCCCCATCCACACCATGAAAATCCTGGGAACGAGGTTCAAATCAAAATATACTGTATATTAAAAGTTTAAATAAATAACTTTTAGTTTTAGCTTAATAATGCTTAATGCATGCAATAAATGTTTTCGTCAAAAAGATTATACACAGTGATATTATCATGGCTTCGAAAATTAGCGAGACAGCCCGGTAAGCGAGATCTTACTGTGTATAATTATTTTTATATAGTAAAATCAGGTACCGTGATCTCGCTTGAAAGAGGCAAGATTTCGCTTACCAGGAGAAAAATTTCTCCATGTGAACACTCACAAGGGGGGAAGAAAGTTCAAAGATGATGCCGCAAGATATTTTTAACAACTGTCAAAACAACAAAATTGTCGCAATATGTTTAATAATATCGACAAAGCTACTGTGTTCCTACTTACACTGTAGTGTTGCATTGTAAATTATTTCAATCTCCAAAAGTGTTATTCTGTCATGACAGAGTAACTCTTTTGGAGTTGTTGATTCAAGTCCTTGAAAGTTGGTGGTGGAATTGGTGGTCCGTGCATACATATAGGCCTATATATGTAAGAAATTCGGTGCAGTTGACTGATAAAAACGTAGCCTGCGAACAGGCCCTGGGTTGCGGGCGGCGCGAAGAATAGAGGGCCTGCACGGATGATAGGTTTTCTTGGTAGTGGCGTTCGTATAGAAACGCAGGCTTCTGATTGGCTTACACTCGTTGACAAAATTACTAAAAATAGCAAATGTCAACAACAGCATTTTGAAGAATTTGAACTTTATTCATTTTAATATTATATATTATAGGACTATCGAACAAATAAAACTAGAAATGGAAACCAAAAGCAATAGCAAAGCATCACAGCAAAAAAGTCTATCATAAATGACTTGAATCTATCGCTTAAATCCAATATACGAAACTATAACAGTATTCTGAACTTCGTCTTCGGATTGACATCAGACCATAGTATAGTACATTTTGAGGTCGTCGTGGCTTCACGGATTATTCTCATTAGTGAGCAAGTCAGCAAGCGAAGGCATACAAAAGATACCCAAATATGTACGAATAATTATATTGTCGATCCTCGCTGGCATGTCATTTAGATAAATATATATCGTACATTAAACGTTGTACTGTTTACTGTATATTAACTGCTGACAATTTCGTCGTCGATACGGCTTCCACTATTGGCACACTCGTGATTTCGAAGAAATTAATAAATACATGCTCATTTATCATTTATTTAGACCACAGTTAGTAAAATTTTAAACGTATTCGGTATTCCAAATCCCAATCTATCTGACCGTATTTTAGTAATAGCTTCAAAATATTCAGAACATTGTTCTTTCAGTCGCACATAGTACAAGTATTACTGTACATTCAAAGCCAATGGTAGTTTATTCGGCTTTATATTTGTATGTGTATTGATATCTATTTAATATTTGAAGAATTCTATATTTTTCCGAGTAATATATTGTGCGGCCCGCTAATGCTTTGTATTATTATTGTTCATGTTGCACAATGTACACGCCTTGCGTCAATTTGACAGTTGACAGTTTATTTATCGCAGTCGACGCTGATTGGTTAGCGTTTAGCAGTGCGAAAAGGGGATGAATGAATAAAACGCATGGTTCCGTGCAGGCTCACCTTTCTCCCAGTGAGCCTGTTCGCAGGCTAATAAAAACGCGATCAAAGCTATGTATGACTATATATAATTGTATACTTTTTAAATAAAAAATCTTTACTATAGAATATATTTAACCCACTTTATTATTGTACATTCCAAGCTCAGCTGGCAGTTCTGCGCGAAGATCCACGGAAACAATCGACCAGACTCATAGATGGGTCGCAGATCTCTGTGAAATTCTCTCAAATTATTTTACTCTGTTTAAGGTAATTCCGCAGTAATTGTTCCCGAAATAAGAATGTGCTGAAACTTCCCAGGCACGGAGTTTGTAATATACTTAAAGTAAAATCACACAAAAAAGTCGGGGTCACCGAACTCGTTAAGAAGATATGACAATCACAATATACCACCTTTACCCCAATAGAGCGCCATCTTGACGCTCATTACGAGTGACAGCAAAATCACAACAGCCCGACATTTATCGATGTTTTTACACAGGGGGTCCAACTAACAGCTGTGTTATGAATAAAACATATTAATTAAACGTAATATGAATATAACATCATAACGTAATATTGCACTTACTTGTATAAATCATAAGAGCTTGCATTTTAATACAGTGAATAGCTTCAAAAACTTGCTTCGTTCCAAAGACTTCAAATATGGCGAATAAATTGACAAAACGATAATATTACATGACGTTCCAACGAAAATAACAGAAAGGATTGCGGGCGCGAGCGGAAAGGCGAGGAAAGAAATAAATAGAAGGGATGAAACAAATATCACGTGACTTTTTAAAATGCTTCTAGACTATCCGTTTAAGCTTTTTGTGGGGTTTTTAAGGCTCAGTCGATGTTCTCTTACATGAACAAGCCTAGTCATTACTAAAAAAGCACTGATCAATCTAATTTATGTGATTTATAACAGCGAGCATTCTTGGCCATTATCGCGAGATGTGTTCCATAAGTAGCCTGTTCTCGTGACGTATGACGAAATAATAATAAAACTAAATAATGTAAAAAAACCGTTGGGCGCTACATTTAAACATTTCATATTAGCCGGTATAGCTAAACATTGTTTATTTTCATTAATTAAGCGCGTAGGCGTTGTTGGAGTTGGCAGGAGGCGTTTTGGAATTTTCCGAGAGAACAGGCTACTTATGGAACACATCACACGATCGCATTACAGGTGTCACAGTGATATGAGTGTCCCCGTGTTTTGTGTATCCCCACACTAATATCCCTAGGGATAAAAGTACCCCCGGTGGGGATACCTACAACACTAGAAGCGAAAGGACGCAATATTCAAAATATGAGCAGGAGGAAAGTCATTTATCTGTTTAAGTATTTACGTTTTTACAGTTATTAAATGCTGCAGTAAATGTGTATAATGTGATTGTGCTTATGTTGTAAGATAGCGTGTTCGCGTCGCATAAATTGGTGTAGAACATAGTGTAGAATTACTCTTAACATTAACTCATATGGCTCCGTATTACTTGATTTCCGACGTATATGACAGGAAGTTTAAATATTACAGAACTCCGCGAGTATTTGCAGTAGAAATACGAAAGTACCACAAAAAAAATCCGCTTGAAAAGTTCTATGAAATCGAACAATGTAAAATAGCCATAAATTGTAAACTAGGCATACTTGAACAATGTAAACTAACCATACCATACTATAGACAATAAACTCGAAGAAATTGTAAACAATGCATCACTAAGCCATACCTTTCGCCGAATATAACTCGGCCCCTTTCAACATATCTTTTTGGTATTAGTTTTGTTCGAAACACAATCCACCACACTATTTAGAGTGTTATTTTCAAGCTTGTATGTGCAGTTTTGCATGTTTTATTTCCCGCGAAATGTTAGGGATACTTGTATCCCTAGTGATGTGGGAATGTAGGGTGGTTCTTTAGGGATACGCAGAACACGACCGCCATATTGCCGGGGATACACATATCCCTAGTGAGGTGAGCATGGGGATACACATATCCCTAGTGATATAAGTAGGGGATACACAAAACACGGGGATACTCATATCACTGTGACACCTGTGTTTCATCCCTTCTATTAATATATATTACCCTCGCCTTCCGCTCGCGCCCGCAATCCTTTCTGTTATTTTCGTTGGAACGTCATGTAATATTATCGTTTTGTCAATTTATTCGCCATATTTGAAGTCTTTGGAACGAAGCAAGTTTTTGAAGCTATTCACTGTATTAAAATGCAAGCTCTTATGATTTATACAAGTAAGTGCAATATTACGTTATGATGTTTTATTCATATTACGTTTAATTAATATGTTTTATTCATAACACAGCTGTTAGTTGGACCCCCTGTGGTTTTTAGCGCGGATTTTGCTTTAGTAAACCTATCTTGTAATTATTTTGAAGAAAATATTGCGTTTTGAGCAAAATGAAACTACTAACGTGTACAATTCTGATCCACAAATGTCTTTTCCACATTTCTTTACATATCTTTCTTTGAGAACATGCATTGATAAAGGATTTTTTTTCAAGATCTAGAAATGATTTTTCTTTTAATTTCGGATATGAAATGTAAAACGCATTAAAGAAATAAATTATCAGTTAAAAAACGGGGGTCATCGATCTTTTTAGGGAATTGTGGCATTAAAACGTGAAATACAATTAAATAAATATACTACAGATACAGGGAACCCTAGCTCACTTTTGTGTGTCTTTTTTTGAAAACATTAATTTTAACGTAATTCTTTGCACGAATGTAATCAAAGATGTTTTGTAGTAACATAAAATTGTCATAAAATGTTTTTTTAAACGCGGTACGTATAATGGACGAAGTTACAAGTTATAAGATGTGCGCAGTACAAGTGCGCAATGCAAAACTGCGGAATTACCTTAATGCCAGAGTTGGACTTCCACGTTTGAGATATATTTTTCAGGTAGTTCAGGGCAAACAACTGCAGCTTATTATAGAATACTACCTATATACACTGCCACTGGACCACCACATTTGAGATATTTTTTTCAGTTAGTTCAGACACAAACAACGACAGTTTACTGCAAATACTAGCTACCTACACTGGACCACCACACTCACCACATCTGGGATATCTTTTTCAGGTAGCCAGACACAAACAACAACAGCTTATACTATATACATATACATGCGCTGAAGCTCCGTTTGCATGCGAAGAAAATGGCTGCAAATAGCTGCACGTATGGCAGCTTTGCTGTATTATAAATTATGTAATATGTATTCCCAGACCAATACGAAATTCTTTGAACACTTTGGAACACTAGATAAATATTCATTTACAGATTCCAAACAGAACATCCAGAATAAAAATTACTTCTCAGCTGTTATTAAAATTCTGCTTGTAGCGATGCTTATTTTGGCAGACTGGGATCATCAGAATAGTGTTTGTCAATGGAATTGTTGAGTGTATATTTTTATTCATTTATAGACCTAACAAAGGAACAGCTGCGAAAAATGCAACTATATAGGCCCTCTGGCAGGAATCGAACCTGCGATTCCAATGTAGCGCTCTAACCAACTCAGCTACAGCCTACAGAGTTCGGGTGACAAGCTTTAACTGCAAGTTCGTGCATATATGTATACCAATGTGACACCAGTGTAAAATCTATCGAGTGAAGTGCCCCAAATCCTGATTTTTATACCATGTAGCTACATTTAGCTCCCCTATAATCTCCCTGAACCCCTACCAACATGCCAGTTATAATTGTTCGTTGAAACTCCCCATGCACTAATATAAAGCTAGCTAGTTGTGATTTTCATATGGTTTTTGGGCCTGGATGATCTGGACCCAGACTTGCTCAACAGAAAAAAAGTGACCTCTCCAAGAAATAAACCTGGTAAAGATTCAAACATGCAGGACAAACATCATGATGTGAGACGAACAACCTCATCGCACAGTGTGGTATGGCAATTGGTATGAATGTTGTGGTAAGGTTTGGAACAGTTTGGTATGGTGTAGTATGGTAAGCTATGGTATAGCAGGGTATGGTGTAGAGTAATATAGTACGATGCAGTGTGGTGTGGCAAGGCGTGGTGCCATTGTATCATTGCTATGGTGTAGTGTGTTACAGTAAGGTGTGAAAGTAGATGTGGCATAGTGTTGTGTCATATTGTATGGTTATAAGTGTGGGTGGTACGATGTGGTATATGTTATGGTATGGTTTGGTATGGTATGGTGTGGTGCCATGTTGCATGGTGGAGTAGGGTATACTGTGGTATGGCGGAGTATGTGATACGTATGATGTGGTCAGGGCCGTCCTCAGGAAATTCTTAAGGGGGGGGGGTGTAATAAGGTCAATTCAACCGACTGGTTCAAAAAAAATGTTTCCAGATCAAAAATTTTCATCATTTGTACAGTTTATAATAGTATTTATTGCATGCATTAAAGTCACAACTTTTTCCATAGATTTTATAAATGAAAGCTAATTTATAATTGCTTTGGGTGGTCTGGCAAGTGCTATTTATTTTCATTCTCCTACAATTGTGAACATTTCTGAAATGGACCACCATCGCTAAGTCAAATGCCGCACAACGACAAGCATCTCATGATCAAATGTGGGGGAGGGGCGATGCCAGAAAGGCTACCTTTCAATCAGGGCATTTTTTAAGAATTCGTCAGTGGGAAGGCCATCTACAAAAAGGGACCATACCATACCGAGTGTGGAGCAATGATAGATGGTTTGTTGGTAACAAAAAGTTTGGTGTGGTATCGCATTTAATAGTAGGGGGGGTGAGAGCAGGGCCTTAGGAAGCTCTTTTCGTTTGGGGGGGGGGGCTGAAAGCGAGGGCCGAAGGCCCGAGGAAATTTTTAAATTTAGAGTCTCTGAAATGCCATTTCCTGGACTTTGGGGAAGATTTGACAGATTTCTGATTGTCAGAATACAGCGTTTTTAGTATGTGGAAATTTAGAATTCAGTAGTACTAAATGGACGAAGGTGTATTTAATTAACAATATATTGGATAAGTTGCAGGAAAGTATGGGTAATATCTTCATTCTT